TGTCCCTCACGCGTCCCTGAGCTATATACTTGTTTCGCTCTCGCAAAAAGGCAAATAGCACACGGAAAGAAAAGATTTGGTTGAATTAACGAAATGGTCGGGTATGAACGATCCAGAAATTCAGATTGAAGTAACCCGAATTCTGTTTAAGTTAGTAAGATTTTTGGTAGACTAACCAAACATGTCTGATTATTTAACCAGAGTGTAAAAGACATGTTTGGTCAAATAACTAGATATGTTTGGTTAGTCTACCAACAATCTTGCTAACTTAAACAGAATTAGGGTTACTTCAATCTGAATTTCTGGGTCGTTCATATTTGACCAGATATTTTGTTACCGTAAAATGGGGTTACTTTGTGATACAGTAACATTTTTTTGAATCTCGCTCCATGACAATGATAACAGAAAAGCTAAAATTTGCGCCAAAATCTTGCCCAACATACCATGCCATCTATGGGCTGCAGCACTTTATCACTATTGAACAATAGTCACACTGAGAGAAAAGACTGGTAACTATAACAAACTGCATTTAGTTACAGAAATTCGTTGAATCCTTAGTAACTAATACTAATACTAAATATGATAATAATTATCAAATATTTAATAAATCGGGAGTATGACGTAATTGAATTCACAGTAACATCAATTAAATAATTTAGTAATAGTTACTTAATGTTAAATATTTAATATGAAATATATTACAGTTATGAACAGATATTTGATAATTGTTATGAAATTGTTATATCCCATGTAATAAAAGGTTCAGTAGGTACGAGTTCTATTTTGTTACCAGTGTATGTTTTGTTGCAGCACAACGAAAAATTCACTTATCTTCAGCTATCGTTTCAATATCTATTATTATAGATGGTTGGTTGAACCTGCCAAAAATTTTGTAACTATTACAAAAGCGCTTATTTTGCTCAACTATTCAATAAGTTTTATTTACCAAATATATTCTGGAAGCAAATAAATTTTACTTCTGTCAAATAAATAATTTATTTTACAGAACTAAATTAATTAATAAGTATTGCCATAGCTTTGGCCCGCTATATTTACGTCTACCATTTAGTAATAGTAACCAAATTTTGATAATATTTACTAAATCCTTCTCTCAGTGCACTGTGTCACAAAATAACCCATACAGTCACAAAGTAACCCCATCTTACGGTAATTCAACCAAATCTTTTTTTTCCGTGCGCAACCTAATTCAGCTAAGAGCACATATCGCGCGATTATCTCGGAACAAGAAAGGGCTGTTCTCTTTAGCTGAAGTGGGTTGCACCATTTGCCTTTATGGGGGAACAGGCGTACAATCTAGCGTTGAAGGAAAGAGGAACGAAGTTTGAACACCAGTTCAGCTAAAGAGAACCGTCCTAAGATCGGGTGAAACGTGCAGAGAGTGCCGACGCTCTGTCAGTTCTCGGCACTTTCGCGCGGATCAGACATTAAGGTACTTGGAGATTTAGCAGAAAAGTAACTGCCGAATCCCCGCAAAAGCTCGAAAACCGCCAGAGAATCCGACTGCTGGATGTTTAACCCCAACGAGAGAATGATCGAATCCTGATCGAAAAGCGTGTTTTTGTAGTCCTTTTGACATCGAGATTTTGGGGCTGCGCGCGTCCAGGTAGACGTCGTTCGTCCCGTGCGGAGCCGCCGATTATTTCGCTCATTTCGCCGAGCGCGAGCCGACTGTCTCCGGGAATCGCGAGGTATGCGGGCCCTAAGTGCCGGCGAGCTGGAGGCCGATAACGCCGCCGATTATCGGCGGCAGGTGGTCCCCGCGTCTTCTAGCGACCGGGGCCCCGCTCGCTGCTAACATTGACCACACTGAATCGGGGGAGAACCGGAATCCCGTGTCGCGCGCAGGGAGGAGGAGACCGCTAATAGAGCGATTTTTGCCGCGCGACCACGAATCACTTCGACGCCCGACGCTCCTCTTCTTCTTTTTTCGGTCGAATCGTACGAAAGCGACGAAAGCGGGGAAAGGATTGGAGAGGGGTGGCGAGGATCGGGGCCGGAGGGTGAGAGGCTGGGGGAGGGCGGGGAGGGG